GACCTAGTGAGCACCATAGCTCGAGTCGTCTGAAAGTATTGTGTATCGCATGGAGAGCCCAACCGAGATGCTAGCCTATTAAGACTGCAGTTGGTCAACTCTCGAAAAAAAAAATATATATATATATATATATAAAGGGCAAACACGAAATTATTGCGACACATTCAACAGGGCAACATTTTTACCATTGGGTAAAAATCAACCAAATTTTGCACACTTTCTCATTGATGTGTATTGTGTACATGCTGTCAAACTCGAAGTCGTGTTTTTCGATTCAACGAAAATGGAGGTGAACCAACGCGAGTTGAGAGAACAAATTCTTTCCAAACACCTGGAATTTCCTGACCTGTCGCACCGACAGTTGGGAAAAATGTTGAACATTCACCATTCAACCGTCTCCAGAGTGTTGAAGCGGTTCCAGGAGCGGTTGACGTTGGACCACGGCAAAGGAGCTGGAAGAAAACCGGGACCGGAGAACAAAAAGACGGAGGGAAAGGGGAAGCGGATGATTAAAGCAAATCCCAACGTCTCAAGCCGTGATTTGGCTAAAAAGATCGGCATGTCGCAGAGCTACGTCCAGAATGCAAAGAAGAGAGCTGGACTACATACATACAAGGTACAGAACTTCCCAAACCGCGATGAGCGGCAACAATCGACGGCTAAAACTCGGGCACGGAAGCTCTACGAGAAGATGCTGACAAAATATGGCTGCTGTGTGATGGACGACGAAACGACGACGAAAGCCGATTTTAAGCAAATTCCGGGGTTGGAGTTTTTCACCGGCAAGAGCAAGTTCGATGTGGACGACAATTTTAAGAAGAAGTAAATGTCGAAGTTCGCCTCCAAATATCTCATTTGGCAGGCCATCTGCTCTTGCGGACTGAGGAGTGAGTCTTTCGTGACAAAGGGCACAGTAAATGGCGAGATCTACAAATCTGAGTGCCTCGAGAGGCGCCTTTTGCCGTTCTTGCAGCAGCACGACGAAGCTCTGCTATTTTGGCCAGATTTGGCATCATGCCACTATTCTTAAAGTGTCCTGGAGTGGTATGAGGCCAATTCTGTCCATTTTGTTCCATAGGACATGAATCCGCCAAACTGTCCGGAGCTGCGCCCGGTGGAGCAGTACTGGGCAATAATGAAGCGGGAACTTCGGAAGAGCAAGAAGACAGTCAAAGACGAGAAGGACATGTTAAGAAAATGGAAAAAAAAAACTGAGAAACTGGTACCGGATGACACTGTAAAGACTTTGATGGAGGGCATCAAGCGAAAATGCGTTCAATTTTACACTCAAGGCTCCATCGATTAACTTTTCTTTTGATTTTTGAAGTAAATATATGTATAAATCTACCCTAAAATTTTGGTATGATTCTAAACATTATAAGAAAATTGGTATGACATTTTCAGTGTCGCAATAATTTCGTGTTCGCCCTTTAAACTTCACTTACATCGCTCTAACTATGATTCTTTTTGTCCAAATACTGAACAAAAAAAATGGGGTTTGCTATGACCATCAAGTTACGGTCAGTTTGGCAGTAGTTTAATAAAGATAAGCATTTCCAGGTGAAATCTGTCAGAAAAAATCTGGCACGATTCTTTCCGGTCTGGATGAAACTTTCAATATGATAGCAGCTTGGAGATTATGATTTTTCCACAGATTATGAGACCATTTGACCAAAGACTATTTTTTGAAAAGGGCGTATATGTTTTCACATATGAATTTAGCTTTAAAACCGTTTATTGTATCAAAATTGTGTCTGAGAGGAAGTTCTACAGAATTGATTGGACTTTGAAGAAAAAAAAAAAAAAAACACTGAGAAAAATTGATAAAATTTAGAAAAAAAAAAAAAAAAAATATTATATCTCTCTATTCCAACCTACGATTTTTTTAATTTTTTTTTCTGCGGTGACCTTGGGCCACATTGCGCATCTCGAAACGAAAAACTTTTTCATACAAGCGATCGTACAAAAAGTCTTTCGTTTTGCGATGCGCAATGCAAAGGTTCATGCAAATCGGAGAAGGTCAAGTTTTTTTTTCCGATTCGTCATTTGGCTTTTACCTGTTCAATGAACCGAAGGAAAGGATTTCTGAACTTTTTTTTCCTCATTTCATTTGATTTCTTAAATTTTTGAAAACTGGATTAGAGGCTTGGCCATTCCAAATGAGTGCTTGTACTGTGCACTAATTACATTAATTGACACGTCTGAGGACGGCCCCGGCATAGTGACTTACATACACGCCTCTTTCGCTTAAACTCACGAGTTCAAATCTCATTCCGGACAAGTCGCGAATGACCCAAAAGTGTTAAAGTGACTTTAATAATTATAAAAAAAATATACTGAATAGCAAATTGAGAACAAACCTCTGATGTAACAAATCAGCACCAGTTGGTGGTGAGAGTTATTTTTCCTCAACCAGACAGTAATGGAAGCTGAATGAATAGGCAAATATTTCAGACAGTCAGCAACCTAACCAACGACGCTGTATAGTGCTGATTCATGATCCTCATTTCCGGAAAGCTGTCTCATAGCTCAGCAGCTTTGGCAAGGTCAGAAAAATACCAACTTGCAATCCCATCCTTGGCTTAGAAGAGAAGTTTGCCTTTTGGGAAACTCATAAGATTTCAGGCAGAAAAAGTACCAACCCTAAGATACTGTCATCTGGCGATGGCTTCGTTATGTGTCTGAATTTTTAACGTTGGGCTCTGGAGTTTACTGAAAATACTGTTCTTAAATCGATGCTACTTAGATTTAATTGATTAATGGACCATGGGACCATCATGCTATGATTGTTTCACAGAAGCGGTAGATTATTGGTTTTGAAACTCATCGTTTCGACGAAGCAGTTTTGATTCGGAATTATCATGCTTACATTGGCATAAATCGTATGAAGATAGAGATACAGAGTTACAGATGATCTTACAGAGATAAATCCAATTGAAATGCTTTTATCTTTTTGTTATCAACGATGGTCGTGCTGCATGGAAGATTTTGCGTGCAAGGTGTAGATTGCTGTGTTCACTATTCATCTCTATTGAAAGTATCATCGTTGTGTTGTAAATCACAGCAGTGATTGAGTAAAAAATATAACTGAATCCTATGACTCTGTTTTGTTTTTTTTTAATAACCTGCGAATGAAAATTGATCCTGAATGGCAGGGTGGCATTGGAATCTTCTGTTTACAAATGTTATTTGCATTTGAATCTGAATACAACCTTTATGCTCGATTTTTATTGAGTAAAGCATATGCATAAAAGTGATTGGATCCAAGGGACGGTAAAGCACGTGGCGCCCAACACTGTATTCACGTGGGTACCAGGTCACTTCGGGATCCAAGGGCAATGAGCTGGATTATCGAGGTGAAGCAATCGTTTAAGTTGTGTGAGTAAAACCCCTGTACGATACAAGCAATTAGTGACGTCACTACTTGCGTTTACGTTGATTTTTTGGTTTACTAATACAACCATATTTCACGATCTGCTTCACCTCTCTCTGTACCTCATTGATCCAAGGGAACGTAATAGCCGACCACCTCGCCGGCTCAGGCCACACTGGACCCAGGTCCACCGGCAATATACCGCTCCAAGATGTCAAAAAGTGGATCAAGCGGACGGTTCGGAGAGCCTGGGACACCGAGTGGAGGAACAACAGGACACACCACCTTCGGAAGATCAAGGCGACCACCGGAACCTGGAAGGATCGACCAAACCTAAGAGAACAACAAGTGGTGTCAAGGCTGCGCACCGGGCACAGCAGAGTCTCCCACAACTTTGGAGGAACACCGTTCCGGAGGACCTGCGAAACCTGCAGAGTGCCATCCACCGTGGAGCACATCCTCGTGAACTGCGCGGTGCTGGAGACCTTCGGGATGCCTTCGGCTAGGAGTCAATCAACATTCGGGGCGACGAGTCCCCGGTACACCCAACCGGGGGATGTAAGATTCGCTTACAATTATGTGGGATTCATCATCAGAGGATGTTAGTGGAGACCGCATGAACCGAGAATGCGATATACCTAGCTGCGGTCCAACATTCATTGTAATAAATTTTTGGTTTGCGTGTAGCAACCGCCCTTATCACCTTCCTAAAGGAAGCGAACCTTTACAACAATATCTGAGGGTTCCTTGTTTGTATTTCTAGTTTGTTGGCCCTTTTGGCAGTTTTCTACACCTTTTCATTCTAGCAAGATAAATTAACCACAGCCAAGATTGGGAATCTCCTTCTGAGAACCCAATATTTTCTCTTTTCTCTTTTTTTTTTCTTTTTTTTTACAATCTTAAGAGATGAACTACACACTTAGAAAAAATCATGTAAATTTAGGTGCTCTGAGACTGACATATACGAGCGTCAATTTTGACATAAAATTGAGTCATAATAGACGCAAAATTCAGCTCAATCAAACGTACTTTTCGTCGAGTAACGAACTTTTCAGTCTCAGAGCACCTAATTTTACATGACTTGTTTGTTTGCGTCGTATGCTTTATGTCAAAGATGGATTCCGTCACGTGTAAAATTAGGTATTTCTAATTGTGTAGCCATATGACTACAATTCTTTATAATAAAGACTAAAAAAAAAGTGATTTTGTTCCACAGAGCTCAAACGGTTTCAAATCAGGTCTGGTGCTGGCAACGCTGGTACTATCGCAAAAACAGTAAAAAATCGATGAACAACACTAAAAACGAAACTAACACAGAGAGTGAGTCTCCGAGGGAGTGCATAGGAATGAGTAATAATCACTCACCTCTGAGTAAGATTCGTTTTCAGTAATGGCAGTAGATTGCTAACCGTAACTAGCATCACAAGTAATTTTAATAATTTTTTGCTGTGTATTTGGTTCGCTAACAATTTGTCAAATTATATTCGTCCAATCAAAAACTACCCTTAACAAGTGCATCCCGGATTTTAAAATTTATTTATTTCACCAACCGACGTAGACTAGTACAAATACATATACAGTTTGAATACCGTTTCTCATTCAATCAAACATTTCCGTTCCATTTCAGAACACATCAACCATGCCGGTTCACTCCAACTGACATCTTGGTTCACCGGTCATCCGAGAGTTGGAGGTGGGCCAACGGCAACCGACAGCCACCTAGCATGGACAACGACCAGCCCTGGTCAGATTGGTGTTCGGGGAACTACTGGTCGACGGTACGCTATCTGTTGTCCTGTGCCAACTACAACAACACCTGGACCTCCTACTGGGGGCCAGATATAGTCTGTGATTACAATAGCATTGCTCTCTCCTCGGCCGAACCGAATCCGGTGACGGACGTGGCAACTGCGGTACGAAACTCGTTCAAAGGTAAACCGCCGGACCCACCATCGATCGATTCCGTTCTTCGCGTTGGCATCCAATGCTACCAAACCTTCAAATGCATTCTGAAAACGGTCACCCCCGGAAGTGACGGCGGTAAACAGTGAGTAGTAGTGTACGCTAATGAGTAAACGTTCACCCATTTTGAAGAAAAGTGGCTAAACTCGTCAATGGGTAAGTTGTTTACCTTTTTAATGAGTATCTGTTACCCATTAATGAGTAACTGTTATCCATTAAATATACATAAGTTCCTCGTTAAAAAGGTACACTTTTTACCTATTAATAAGTTAAGCCACCTTTCTTCAATATGGGTGAAATTTTTTGCTCAATAATGGGTACCATCAAATTAGCGTGTAGACTTAGGTTACAAGAGCAATCTTAAAAATCATTAAATTCTCCTTCCTTCCGTGCAGATCCAACACGAGTGATGTGCGGTGGACCGATGCACTTTACGAGTGCAATCCTTTGATGACCACAGACGGGGCTGAAAACCTGTTGAAGGAATGCATCCCCGGCGGCTACAACACCACCATCGTCGCCCGTAACATAGTCCAACCGGTGTCGGAGTTGCTTCTCAAGTTGCCCAAGCTGTCGCTGGAAATGATAACCAGCAGGACCGATTCCTCGTCCAACGATACGATGCTGCAGCACCCGTGTGGGGTGGACATGGCCCGAATCAGCTACCACCATTACCAGCTTATATGCAACAACAGTGCCGGTCGGTTTACGTTCTACGAGAACGATTCGTTCGACCTATTCAACTCGTCCGCCGCTCATCTCCTGGAACCAGTCCAGTGTTTGCTGAATGTCGAATACGATAATGTGATAAACCAACTGTCGGGCATGGTGATTGCAAATGCTACAAGCTCAGGGACGACGGTGGCCAGCTCGTTGATGACATTCAACACCCGGTACGAGTGGAGCTTCCTGTTTGTAATATTGTTTATCTTCGCCGGTGGACTCGGTAACATTTTGGTCTGCCTTGCCGTGGCACTGGATCGGAAGCTGCAGAATGTAACAAATTACTTTCTCCTATCGCTGGCCATCGCCGATCTGCTGGTGAGCCTATTTGTGATGCCGCTTGGAGCCATTCCTGGTTTTCTGGGTAAGTTTTATGTAAGCTATCTTCGTGTCCTACTTGTTGGTCCTACGCTGGGTGTTCACAAATACAAGGCACATATTTTCGGTACAGTTGAAAACCGGAAAACCTAACACGCGACAATCGATTTTAATCTTGTTCTGTTCGTTAAACATAGTGTCGGCCGTAGTGCGCCTGATTCGCACAGTGATGCGCTATAATGCGCACTATGTCCGACGTTATGTTGAACGTGCAGACCGAAGGTAATCACCTCTATTCCCGTTTTCGTACGAACAGGATTCGTTCGAAACGAAAGCAATTTCCCATTCCCGTTTTCGTTCGAAGCAATTCTAACTTTCGAACATCGTTCGTTCGAACGATGTTGCTATTCCCATTTTCGTACGAATGCGTTTTTTGTTCGCTTTCCAAACGTCACTCCAAACTCGCGAATCGCGAGACAGCCAGGGGATAAAAACATTGAAATTTTTTGTAATCTCTAATAAAAATGTTATGGTTAATGGGGTTGATTGATTGATTTATCTTTATTAAGGAGGCTGGTTCGCCTCCAACGTGTTCGGGGTATCATCCAAACTATTTTTGGAATAGTTCAATCATTTGGGTTATCGTTCGTGTATGGTATTTTTTATAAGGGATGGCCTTAGTGTACAAAAAAATCTAAAAGAGATCTTAAAGATCTCATATGGAAATTGATTGAAAAATCATGCAATAAAAATATAATTAAGATTAAAAAAGGATCGAAACAACTAGAAAATTTTGGACAAAGTCATTTCTGTAACAGCTTATATAACAAATATTTATATATTTAATTATGACTCCAAAACATTGACAGCCATATACAGTCAAGATTCCTATAGTGCGAATTCGTTCTTGCCGGATTCCTATAGTACTGATGCCACTGGATTCCTATAGTACGGTCGATCCGGCATTAACGAATACACGTAGCATATGACTTCCTGATGTCTTTTGAGAAGTTGTTAAGAAGAAAGTTGGCCACCTTTTGGGACGATTCAGTTTCCGGTAATACACAAGTCTGATCCTGTGGAAGATCCGGAATATCCGTAAAAGTGGCCAATTCATGAAACTCATAAACGTCTTATCAGAATGAATTTGGAGCTGTGACCGGAATATGGGCCCTAGGGACCACGGGATAGTTCACCGGAAGATCCGGAACATCCGTAAATGTGGTGAATTCACGAAACTGATCCTAGAGCTCCGCGGATTTTTTGAAACCACTCATAGACGTCTTATCAGAATTAATTCAGAGTTGTGACTGGAATATGGACTCTGGGGACCACGGGATTGTTCACCAGAAGATCCGGAATATCCATAAAAGTGGTCAATTCATGAAAATACTCCTAGAGCTCCCCGTTTTTTTTTTTAAACCACTCTTAAACGTCTTATCAGAATGTATTCGGAGTTGTGACTGGAATATGGGCCCTGGGGACCACGGGATGGTTCATCGGAAGATCCGGAACATCCGTAAAAGTGGTCAATTCATGAAAATACTCCTAGAGCTCCGCGGATTTTTTGAAACCACTCATAGACGTCTTATCAGAATAAGTTCGGAGTTATGACCGAAAAATTGACCCTGGGGACCACGGAATGATCCATTATAATATCCGGAACATCCGTAAAAGTGGTCAATTCATGACACTGATCCTAGAGCTCCACGAATTTTTTGAAACCAGTCATAGACGTCTTATCACAATAAAATCGGAGTTGTGTTCGGAAAATGTACTCTGGGGACCATGGAATGGTTCACCGGAAGATCCGGAACATCCTGAAAAGTGGTTAATTCATGAAACTGATCCTAGAGCTCCGTGTTTTTTTTTTTGAAACCGCTAATAGACGTCTTATCACAATTAATTCGGAGTTTTGACTGGAATATGGACTCTGGCGACTACAAGATGGTCCACGGGAAGATCCGAAACATCCGTAGAAATGGTAAAGTCATGAAACTGATCCTAGAACTCCGTGAACTTTCCGAAAACACTCATTTACGTCTTATCAGAATGAATTCAGAGTTGTGACCTGAATATTGATTGTGGGGACCACAGAATGGTTCAAAAGAAGATCCGGAACATCCGTAAAAGTGGTCAATTCATGCAACTGATCCTAGAGCTCCATGTTTTTGTTTTAACCTTTCATAAACGTCTTATTACAATTAATTCGGAGTTTTGACTAGAATTTAGACGGAAAATGGACCTTTGGGACCACGAGATGGTTCACATCCATAAAAGCCGTATTTATGAAGACAAAAATGGTCCTTAAAATTGGTGAATTGAAAATTCAACCTTTTTTATTATTTGAGATAGACTAATGCAGTTTTTTAAAAGGTCGTAGAATAATCAATTTGAACCAACTTTGCTCATGGCATCAAATTTTTATCTCTTATGGTTCATGACTTATGGTTATTTTAAGCAAGTAGGTTGGAGTGGCCCCTAGAAAATCTTTCTTTAAATATTTTTATTGGTGATTAACGTATAAACAATATTTAAAGAAATTTCTAGGGGCCACCCTTACCTCTCGTAAAAACATTATTCTAAATACTTTTAGAACTTTTTATGACGCATATTTTTGCAGAAGTCACTAATATGAATCTCCTTTATTTAAAAGTTATGGCTAGTTTTTGATAAAACAAATAATTTTTTTTTAAATAAAATAAAATACTTTAAACAAAAAACGCTCTCACAGTTTTTCCACAAATACTGAAAAAACACAATCTTTTAAATGACATCGAAAGTTTGAAAATCAGTTTGCTCCATTTAGAGACATCATTTTAATAGAGCCATTTTTTCGAAGAAAATCTCCATTAAGTTTCTAATAATAAAAAAAAGATAGCAGCCTGGTTGCTTCAGCAAAAATATGCGTAATCATAAGTTCTAAATGTAACCAAAACAAGGTTTTTACGAGAAATGAACTAATGAAAAGATATTCGAAGAAATCTGTTTTTTATGGGCCATTCTAACCTGCTTGTTTAAAAAATCATAACTCATGAACCTTAAGAGATAAACATTTGGTGTCTCGAGCAAAATTGCTTCGAATTGATTGCTCTACAACTTTTAGAAAATTGCATTGGTCTATCTCAAATAATTAAAAAAAGTATGTATTTTCAAATCTCCAATTTTGTGGACCACCCTAATTTCACAAACATAAAAAGATCGGCCAAACAATATGAAGAAACTTACCCGAAAACACTATATACCTAAAGCTGACGGTTTGGGCGCAAACATTTTTGTCTTCCTAAATACGGCTTTGGGACCATTGTGCAGTGGATGGTCCTCCGAAAGATCCGAAACATCCGTAAAAGGCTCAATCGATGGAACTGATCCAAGAACTCCGTTTTTTTCGTAAACTCTCATAGACGTCTTATAATTATGAATTCGGAGTTATGATTGGAAAACATACCCTGGAGACCATGAACGCTCCTCTGGAAAATAATAGACAACTCATCAGAATGAACTCGGAGTTGTGACTGAAAAATGGACCCCAGGGTCCATTGGATGGTCCTTCGGAATATCCGGAACATCCATTAAAGTGGATAGGTCATGAAAACTGATCTAAGCATTCTATGGTTTTTTAGAACTGCTCATAGACACATTTCTCTGTGGTATTTAAGTAATTAATAACTTCTAGACACTTTTAACGGAATTTTTGATGATCTTCCGGATGTTTTAATGGACCATCCCATATACTGGGGACATAAACTTTCTGGTCAAAACTCCGATTTTATTGTGATAAGATGTCTATGAGTGCTTTCTAAAAAATCGTGGAGATCAAGGATCAATTTCATGAATTGAGCACTTTTAGGGATGTTCCGGATCTTCCGGTGGACCATTCTGTAGTCTCCATATTCTTATTTCTGAACACAACTCCGAATACATTCCGACAAGACGTTTATGAGTGATTCCGAAAACTCCGTAGAGCTCTAGGATCAGTTTAATGAATTTACCACTTTCACGGATGTTCCGGATATTCCGGTGGACCATCATGTAGTCCCCAGAGTCCAAATTAAGGTCACAACTCCGAACACATTCTGATAAGACGTCTATAAGTGGTTTGAAAAATCCACGGAGCTCTAGGATCAGTTTCATGAATTGACCACTTTTCTGATGTTCCGGATCTTCCGGTGAACCATCTCGTGGTCCGCAGGGTCCCAGTCACAACTCCAAATTCATTCTGATAAGACGTTTATGAGTGGTTTTAAAAAAACCGCGGAGCTCTAGGATCAGTTTCATGAATTGACCACTTTTACGGTTCGCATCGGAACAAACCTATTATTGATTTATGCACGGTGAAATCATTGATATTATTGATATTTTCTGATCGATAGAACGGAAATGGGCGATTACGACGAAGTAGCGCTTTACCCTATATACATTATGTTTATTTGTATGGAAAGAACAGCATGTAATTTCAAGCAAAACCGGACAAAATCTCTCTTTAAATTACCCACGTTAAACCGCAATTATCATCTCGCCAACACCAACCATCACGTAAAACCTCCGAGTGCAACCCCGATGTTCGAGCCAGGGGCCTGGCTGGCGGCCATGTTTTTAATGCTTTCATCTGCTCTTGTCTTTCTGCTCACAACACGATTTTGCGTCCCTTTCCTTCATGTATACGTTAGGCGGGCCGTATTTAAATAAGGCCCGTGATCTTGCCTACTGTCAAACGTATAGGATTGATATGGGGTTGCCAGTCTCCTGGTTCGAGCACAGGCGCAAGCACGAAACATCAAGCCTGAGTTCATTTACGCTGCGCTCACCCCAGATGTTGTTCATTTCTCTCAAGTTCGATGTTCGTGTGTAAACATGAGCCTGAGAGAGAACACGCGCTCTGAATGAACTTGCACTTCTGAAATTTGAACTTACGCTCAGCGCCGTGCATGTTTACGTGAAGACTGGGTACTAATCGTTGTTGCTTTTTGGCGCTATTTTTGATATTGCTGTTGTATTTGCTTCAGTGGATGGAGAACTAACTTGAAATGCATAAAAGTGGGAAGG